GAAGGAAGATTGGGCAATCTACTTCTGTAGTGATATCACTTCAGAAACCCAAGGAGGAGTCGCTATGAGTTGGATCTGACTCGACACCAGTGAGTTTGGTTGTGGTTTTCAGTTCTACATTATTGTTTCACTTTTACACTGTGATATCCATAAAGTAAATTTGATACAGGGTATCAAATATAATTATACATGTATATACAGTATTTGGCTTTCAAAAAGTTTACAGAATGTACATACATTTTTTTTTTAATGTCCTCAATACAATACCCATGGTAGTTAAGAGACACTTATTTCCTAAGTTTCTCCATTTAGTTTTCAAATTCCTTCAAAGAGCACTCGATTCAATACAAAGGAATTGGTCTTAAAATATGCTAATATTAAAACTAGGAGATATGACCAGAGAAAAACAAAACAAAATAAAAATAACCATACAAATGGGAAAAAAAAGGAAACAAAAAGAAAAAGAGAAAAACAAGAAGAAATGAAGCTACTGAAGACAGAAAACAAAGTTTAAAGAGTTGATTGCTTTATGTTGTTGTTGTTGTTATTTGCCGTCGAGTTGGCCCCGACTCATTGCTTCATAGTTCCCTTTATTTCATTCTTCTTTCCATTGCTTAGAATATTATCCTGGAACTCTGTTTATAACGGACCACACAGTTCCGCTTCAGCCATCATCGGTTTCAATGATTTCTCTCTGTTCTTAGCTTTTAGCATCCTGAGATCCACACTCCAACATACTCTCTCTAGTCCTAAGAAGACAGCAATATTCTATTCTCAATTAGGTTTCAGTATGAAAACTACCCTACTTATTTCACTAATGCCTTTTAAAGCATAACATAAACTTGAAGATTATTCAATGTTTGTAGAATGGTATAGTCTATACTATCCCAAAACAAATGTCATCTATACCCCAAAGTTTCTCAGTGTGTATGGACTAAATATAACAATGCAAATTTAAATCTGTGGATGTACTACATGCAGGATGATTAGCGGTGAATATTTTGATGAAAATAAGTTTAGGTTTGTTTTTGTTTGTTTGTTTAAGTAAAGAAAGAAGCCAATGGTGGATCAGTGGTAAATTCTTGCCTTCCAGGCATGAGATCCAGGTTCAATTCCCCGTCAGTGCACTCCATGCACAGCTATCACCCAGTGGAGGTTTAAGTGTTGCTATGCTGCTGAAGAGGTTTCAGTGGAGCTTCCAGACTCAGACAGACCAGGAAAAAAGGCCTGGCAATCTACTCCTGAAAATCAGTCAGTGAAAGCCCTGTGGGTCATGACAGTGCAATCCCATTGTCATGGAGTCACCTTGAGTCAGAAGCCAACTTGAAGTCAGTAAACAACAAGAAGAAGTAAAGTAAGAGACCAACTCCATAAGCTCTTGGAACATCTTATGAGTTAGGAAGACAGGACAGAAGTCTTAGACAGATACTGGGCCAAATTCTACAGACACTACTGTGCTGGCACAACCAGGAAATTCCCAGGTAATTAACATTCTTGTGATGGAAACAGGTTTGACTATTCTCAGGCGTGAAAGTTCAAAGTGGTCAGATAAACTAGAAACCTAGAGAAGTGAAGATTCCATATACGTTATAGATTATTCTAACAATAACCTGCATCTTATTTACCAAAAAGATAAGGCCACCTAAAAATAAGTGCATGCTTTTCTTTTAAACCCCAAGGAAGGACATTCCTGTGGAAACTCAACAGAAAACCATTTTTTTTTTGGCTTCAAAGCAGGTGGAAGCACATAATTATCAGTGGTCAATTAAAAAAAAAACTAAAAGGTTACTGAACTTGTTATCTATCATAAATTGATGCTATACCTGGTTCCCTGGGAATTCCTAATTCGATATATTTGCTACACAGTATAAGCCAATATATATTATTATAAGATAATAATTTATCTTACTATCATCTTCACACTAAGATGATGCAACTGACACAAATAAAGGCTTCAATAAGGCTCGATCTTTGCAAACTAGTTTTGATGGTAGAGATAAGAATTGGTATAAATAAATAAATAACCAAAAGCTCCTCTTCCTCCCTCTCTCTGCCTCCCTCTCTCTTCATCTCTGTGTCTCCCAGACATCACCTATGTAAGTCAAGGTTAGGAAACAAGGAGCCAGAGTTTGGCCAGCGCAGAGAGCAGTTACAGGAGCAAAATCTAAAACCAAGGCTTAAAATAACGTATGTTTTTAACACCAGCGCTACTCGGGGGCACTGATATGCTTACTCAGGAAACGCTGATCTCACGCCATGGGCTATAAAGATGGTAAATTTTATGTCTGGTTAGAGAGTTGCTCAGTGTTGCTCCATAACTTTCTGAGGTGGCTTCAAGTGAGCAGGTTTAGTCCATACTAGTTAGCAAAAGCCAATGGTACCAGTAACTCCCAAAGACCACCAAGGCTTTTCTTTTCTTGCTCTTGACTTGTCTTAATCTCAAATTGAGTTTTTCACTCCCTTTACCTCCTCCAAAATCCACATCAATTTCTGAAAACAATATACCAACAAACTCATAAGCACTAAACAGATAAGAAGTAAAAATGATGCAATATAAATCATTTAAAACAAAAAAACACTTCGTTACATTGTTATTCAAGAAAATCTAGTATAAAGAACAATAGCAATAGCACTATAAATGTGCTACAAAAGATAAAGATATTCCTTGAATGACCTTTGTTGGATTTACTTTAAGGGTGGTCAGAGAGCTAAAAAACAAAATAAACCTGACAGAAATTAAAGCATACTTTTAAAAAAGTTTTAAATTGAATCTCATGACAACATTTATTATTAACCTACCTTAAATTTAAGTACGTCAGCATCTGTAGATTAACGATGGCCTCAGGAATGACTCTGATACAATTGTGATACAGATTAAGAATTTCCAGTGACACAAAATGGCACAATTCCATTGGAATTTCAACCAGCCTGTTTTTAGATAAATCTGTGAGAAAAGGAAAGAATATTTTGTCAATAAATCTTCAGTGTAATCAATACAATCTTGTGATCTCTATTTCCTAACATATTAGTCAAATTTAGGGACACAAGGGTATGGAAATGTATAATACTACTAAAATAGTTTGAGCTCTCCCTATCAGTTTGTAAATCTTGGCCGGCATACAAGGGATACTGAATTACTTTCACTCCAACTGAAAATTTTATCAAGTTCACTCTTTCTGGGCAAGTATGTAAAACTGTGTCCTTTACCATCTGTGAATGCATGCACGTACCAATCAAAAAAAAAACAAACCCACTGCCATTGAGTTGATTCTGACTCATAGCAAACCTCTTGGGTTTCCAAGGCTGTAAATCTTTATGGAAGCAGATTGCCTAATCTTCTCCAAGGCTGTAAATCTTTATGGAAAAAGATTGCCTAATCTTCCCACCGAAGAGCACCTGGTGGGTTTAAACTGTCAACCTTTTGGTTAGAAGCCAAATGTCTTACCCACTATGCCACTGTTGTTGTTGTTGTTATGTGCCATCGAGTCAGACCTGACTCATAGTGACCCCTCCTTGGGTTTCCAAGGCAGTAAGTATCACTACAGAAGTAGATTGCCCAACCTTCCTTCTGAGGAGTGGCTGGTGGGTTTGAACCGCCAGCCTTCTGGTTAACAGTCAAGTGCCCTAGACACTAAGCTCTAGAGCTCCTTTATAATGTACAAGACCTACTTAAAACAATGTGTCTATCAAGGATGACATCATGTCTGCCATATGATGAACCACAAAACCAGGTACTACCGGCTAAGTACAAAGATGGTAATACTGTTCTACATGGCAGTGTAAACATATAGATTCACCATTCCAAAAACAAGAATATGGAATAATCTTTAATATCAATCTGGGTAGACATGAGTTCCAAACACCATAAAAACTGAATATATGGAAAGAGATACCACCACTGAAAACAGTAACTCAAGAATATCAAATTATATCACTCAGTGTCAAGAAGGACACAGTATGAATTGAAGATATTCAGTAAATAATAGATACATACTTAAGGATGAATACAACCACAACAAAAAAATGTAAGCAGGTCAATACCACGAGGATACAGAAGTCAAAGAGCAACTCTCCCTGTCCACCCCTCCGATAAATGATGTGTTACAGAGCAGAACTGCTCCATAGTTTTCTTGGCTGTAATTTTTACCAAAGCAGATTGCCAAGCCTTTCTTCTGCAGCACTGCTGGGTGGGTCAAAACCATCAACCTTTAGGTTAATAGTCAAGGGCAACCATCTGCTCCATTCAGGGACCTTAAGTAAATAAAATAAGGCCTAGCTGGTTTCATGAGGAGCTCTGGTAGCATATTGCCTAAGGCACTTGACAGCTAACCAGAAGGCTGACGGTTCAAACCCATCAGCCACTCCTCGGAAGGAAAATGGGGCAATCTACTTTCATAGTGATACTGCCTCGGCAACCCAAGGAGGGGTCGCTATGAGTTGGGTCTGACTCGATGGCACATAACAACAACAGCTGGTTTCACAGAACATTCTGGACGTACGTACTGTGCTAGGTACTGAGATCCAGGGATCCAATCTATCTCTCATCAGATCACCAGGTCCTGTGATTTCCCAGGCCCTGGGGCAGAAGGGGAAGGAGGTCACGGTGCTTATCCATGGCTGCCTATCCCACGGTGCTCACCTCAAGCAGGGGCCACACAGATGCTGCTGATGCCACCAAGGGGGATGCCCCACCAAGGCCAATGCCCTCCCTACTTGGACCAAGCACCCTGCATGCATTATGGCCCAGGTCTGAGGCTGCAGCTCCTCTTGCAGTGTCGGCTGTAGTAGTGATGGGAGAAGGAACAGGAAGGCGGTCAGCTAGATGATAAGTGCACACCACGCTGGGTGGGTGGGGGATGAACGCAGTTCTCAGAGACCAGGCAATGAATGAATGACCACACAGGATCAGCAGTGGTGGAGCCAAATTTTTCGTGCAGTCCCTCAGTGTGGTGGCAGCATGAATCCTGGCCTGACCAGTGACCATCCTGTGCACAACCTCCAAATCATATAATGTCCTATTTCACAGAATATATCATGGACATTAAGCAATGCATACCTGTATAAAACTACTCTAGACCATATAAAACAGAAGGAAAGCTTCAAAATTCGTATTTAAAAAGTGAGGAATAATACTTTCACCCAAAAAGAGGAAATTACAAATGAATTTCACTTCTAAATATTAATAACTGAAAAACCAAACCAAACTCACTGCCATCAAGTCAATTCCAACTCACAGCAACCCCCACTGGGTTTCTGAGGCAATAAATCTTTACAGAATTAGACTGCCCCATTTTCCTTCCGTGGAGGGGCTGGTGGGTTTGAACTGCCAACCCATCTGGTTAGCAGTCAAATGCCTTAGGCACTATGCCATCAGAGTTCCTTCTAAATATTAATGTAAAACCCTAAATAAAACAATTAGCAAACAGAATTGAGCAGCACATAAAAAAATTAATATATTATGAATAAGTAAGTGGTATTGTTGTTGTTGTTTGTTGCCATTGAGTCAGCTCTGACTCCTGGCAATTTATGTATAAGAGAATGAAACATTGCCCAACATATAAGTCATATAAGGATTATCGAAACATTTATAATATGAATAGATCAAAAGTTAAATAACATCTGATCATATTCATGAATACTATATACTAAATACTTGATAAAATGCTGTATTTTTTTAAAAGACAACTTCATTGAGGTATATTTTACCTATCATAACATTTACCCATTTCAACTGTACAACACAATGATCTCTAGTAATTTTACCAACTAGTACAACCATCACCAGAAATCAGTTCTAGAATACTCACATTCATTCTTAATAGAATTGCTTAATGAAATGAGAATAGCTGGGTATTTGTTTCATAAACACACATCCACACACATTCATATATAAACACAAATACAGTACAACCTGCGAAAGCAAGAACCTGTGTAAGGTGGAAACCTGTCAGAGAGGAAAATGCAAATATTTTCCACTAAAACAAGTGACAGAAAAGTGGTAAGACAGCACCCTGTCAAAGGCAGAAAACATGCAAGATCCAGCAAAACAAGGCAGTCCTGTCGAGTTCCGGCTCTTACAAGTTTCACTGTATGTAGACACACACATTTATACACACATAAACGGATACAAGAGAGACAGAAGGCTTTTTTTTTATTGCTAAATCATGAAAAACTAGTGATGTTACTATTAAAGTCAGGGCAAACTATTACTACTACTCTTCCTACTACTACTATTTATCATTGTCAGTAATATGAAACATGGAAAGGAAAGGAGAAACAAAAGTGGGAAAGAAATTACTTGCAGTTAGAACAGCCAAGAATATCAAGAGAGAAACTACTACAAATGACTTAAGAACTTAATAAAAGGAAAGGGTAGAAAGGTATTCTACTAAATTATAGCTCATTGAGGTTAGGTGCCGTTGAGTCAGTTCTGACTCATGATCATCCCACGTACAACAGAATGAAATGCTGCCCTGTCTGTCCTACACCACCCTCATACTTGCCGCTGTTTGAGCTCAATGTTGCAGCCACTGTGTCAGTCCATCTCATTGCAAGTCTTCCTCTTTTTTGCTGACCCTCAACTTTAGCAAGCATGATATCCTTCTCCAGGGATTCATCCCTCATGATATTAGGTCCAAAGTATGTGAAACGACATCTCTCCATCCTCACTTCTAAAGAGCATTCTGGCTGCACTTCTTCCAAGACAGATTTATTTGTTCTAGCAGCCCATGGTATATTCAGTCTTCTCTGCCAACACCATAATTCAAACGCATCACTTCTTCTTCAGTCTTCCTTATTCATTGTCCAACCTTCACATGCATATAAGGTGATTGAAAAGATTATGACTTGGGTCAGGTGCACCTTAGTCTCAAAGTGACATCTTTGCTTCTTGACACTTTAAAGAGGTCTTCTGAAGCACATCTGCTCAATTTAATGTGTCATTTGATTTCTGGACTGCTGACTCCATGGGCATTGACTGTGGATCCAGGTGAAATGAAATCCTTGACAACTTCAACCTTTTCTCCATTTATCATGATGTTCCTTCCTTATTGGTCCACTAGGAGGATGTTTTCTCTGTATTGTGGTGTAATCCATACTAAAGGCTGCAGTGTTTGATGTTCATCAGTAACTGATTCAAGTCCTCTTAGCTTTCAGTAAGCAAGGTTCTATCATCTGCATATCATAGCTTGTTAATGAGTCTTCCTCCAATCCTGATACCATGTTCTGCTTCATGTAGTCCAGCTTCTTGGATTATTTGCTCAGCATACAGACTATGTACAGTGAAAGGATACAACCCTGATGCACACCTTTCTTGATTTTAAACCATGCAGTATCCCCTTGTTCTGTTCTATGTGTACAGGTTTCTCATGAACACAATTAAGTGTTCTGGAATTCCCATTCTGCACAATGTTATCCACAATTTCTCATGATTTGCACAGTTGAATGCCTTTGGAAAGTCAATAAAACACAGGTATTCTCTTCTGATAGTATCTGCTTTCAGCCAAGATCCACTTGACATCAGCAGTGATATCCCTCATTCCCTGTTCTCTTCTGAATCTGGCTTGAATTTTTGGTAGTTACCTGTTGATATACTGCTGTAACCATTTTTGAATTGTCTTCAGCAAAATTTTCCCTGTGTGTGATAGTAATGATATTGCCGGGTAATTTCTGCATTCTGTTGGATCACTTTCTTTGGAATGGGCACAAATACAGATCTCTTTCAATCTCTTGGCCACACAGCTGTCTTCCACATTTTTTGTCAGACCAGTGAGCACTTCTAATGTGGCATCCATTTTTTGAAACGTCTCACTTATGATTTCATCAATTCCTGAAGCCTTGTTTTTCAACATGCTTTCAGTGCAGCTTGGATTTCTTCCTTCAGTACCACCAGTTTTTGATCATATGCTACCTCCTGAAATGTCTGAATGTCAACCAATTCTTTTT